TTCTAAACTTGTCCTAACATTTACATTAAAAACAGAGGTTTTGTCTACATTGTAAAAATCCCAGTCTTGGAGAACTTATGAAAACTGTGGTCCACTGCTGCAAGCTGGTGGATATAGCACATTCCCTGCAGAATTTTCTGGAGCCAGCAGCTTGTGGAGGTGGATGAGGTGCAGCAAAATAGTTATTATTATTACACAGGACTTATATAGCGCCGACAGTTTGCTCAGCGCTTTACATTATAGTTGAAGGGAGGCACTTACTGTATCTCATTATTTTATAAGGAGATTTTAACAGTGATGGCAATATAAAGTGCAGTAAACCACAGCAGTAATTTAAATTCGCTGTACTGTAGCAAGATTTATACATAATTTAGTCACATTTAGTTACTGCATTTGGCACATTGCTAATTACACCATTTGTTATACCTCGCTAGCACCCCCTTGCCAGTCCTTCCTCCAGTCTGAATACCCAGTAGCAGTAGTATGTGGGGCTGAAAACTTCCATTTGACAGGGAATTGTGTCACCCCTCCTTCACTGTCTGACACCAGCCTACATTTGGGATTTTAGTGCCAACTGTGAAGGAGTATTAGAAGGGTGGAAGTGAGTTAGAAGACTCTAAATAAGCAAGGTGATAGTGTCTCTTTAAATGGTACACTTTGTGGAGTTCTGGCTTACATGAAAGTTTCCACAGCATGACAAATTAATTTTGTATTTGCAGTCAAGATTTAAAGCATATCTAAACCCAAAGCCATAAAGGTAATATCTTGCATTTTTCTAATCCTTAGATGTTATGGCTGCATTAGTTTTATTTCTATCTGGCAATCCTCCACCTTAATTTCCTCTCTCTTCATGTCTATGATTTTTTCCCAATTGGATCTATGGAGGGAGCCATAATCGTTACACAGACAGAACATCAAACATTTCTGCTTTTGTTTGTCTTCGTTTTTCTTTTGAAAATGAAAAATCCATTTAAAGGACCACAAAAGGCAGATTGGTAGATCTTGCTTTCCTCCTTCATTCAAAAGACTTGTTTAGTAAACCCTTGTCCCTTTTATTCATCAATACCTGCTCTTTATTGCTGGTTGTTGATATGCTTGCCAACTCTGCTTTTTAAATTGTCCCATTTTTTTAAACTTTTTTTTACGATTGGTATCAAGTCACATTTTACCTTAGTAGGCTAGTAAATTCAACATTCCTTTTATTGAAGAATGGATGGGATTAGTTACTGTAGGTATGTATAATGGGAAAAAAAATTGATATTAAATTTGCTTACAAATCTGAAACATTTACAAGAATATGGACTTGTTAAAAGTTATTTTCCACCACATCAAATTGTTGACTATTACCGGTATATCAAATATAGCTCTAATGGAATAGTCTGTTAGAACACTTTTTTAAAGATTATTCTGTAGTGCTTGTAGATTGGGATTGAACAATAAAACTAATACCAGGGACTCCTGACATTTAAACATATTTAAAACAACACTATTGTTTGCCATAAAAGAATTTGAAAGTACTGCTTCTACAGTAAAAGACTGTCAATACTTATCACTCTGGTGGACATCAGAGAAGTGTGAAAAAGTGTATCACTAGAAAAAAAAAACTTTATTTTTAGTTTTGGGGAAGTGAGGAAGGGTTATGCAGGCCATAGATGGGTCGAAAATTGGCCGAAAATTTTTCGGATCATTAATGGGCGATTTGGTCGGCCATTTTTCGGTATTTTGGCCGTTTTTTTTTTTTCGGTAAAGTTGGAAAAAAATCGGCCGATTTTGCCGATCGGCCGATTTTCGCGGCAATAATGGGCAAATCGGCCGATTTTTTACCGATAAAAAATCTGCGCATGAGCAGTGACCTGCAAGAGGAAGACAAAAAGAAGAAGAGGATGAAGATGATGAAGAGGAAGAAGAAGAGGATGATGATGATGAGGAAGAAGTAGAAGAAGAGGATGATGATGATGAAGAGGAAGAAGAAGTAGAAGAAGAGGATGATGATGAAGAGGAAGAAGTAGTAGAAGAGGATGAAGAGGAAGAAGAAGTAGAAGAGGATGATGATGATGAAGAGGAAGAAGAAGAGGATGAAGATGATGAAGAGGAAGAAGTGGAAGAAGAGGATGAAGATGATGAAGAAGAAGAAGAGGATGATGATGAAGAGGAAGAAGTAGAAGAAGAGGATGATGATGATGAAGAGGAAGAAGTAGAAGAAGAGGATGATGATGACGAAGAGGAAGAAGAAGAGGATGATGAAGAAGAGGATGATGATGATGAAAAAGAAGAAGAAGAGGAGGATGATGAAGCAGGAGAAGAAGAAGAAGAATGAAAAATTAGAGGAATTCCAGTACGGCAAAAAGTGTCCCTGCAGAGAGCTCCGCTATTTCTTTGACAGTTCTCTGACAGTTCCTTGACATTTACAGAGGTTGCAACATTGTATCTATTTGTTTCCGAATAAAAACATCTGTATCCTAAATGGAAACAAATAAATACAATGTTGCAACCTCTGTAAATGTCAAGGAACTGTCAGAGAACTGTCAAAGAAATAGCGGAGCTCTCTGCAGGGACACTTTTTGCCGGCTCTAGACGGGATGAAAATCGGCCGATTTTTTTTTTTTTTTTACCATTGTTGGTAACGTCGGCCGCTTGAACGACCGATTTTTCGTTTTTTAAAAGAAAAATCTGCCGTTTTTTCTCCCCATCTATGGCCTGCATTAGATCAAACCTGGGCAAGCTGTGGCTGCAGGGCCACACCCAGCCCTTTGGCTGCCCCTCTCTAGCCCTTGATGCCTCTCTGAGCTGGTCAGCAACCTCAAGCTGACAGGCTCAGAGAAGTACACTGACAAATGTCAATGTGAGGAACTGAAAGGAGAGAGCCTGAGAACCTGGTAAGTACAGCAGGGAGGCTCAGCTCTGGTGGGAGAGCTTTTTTTAGGAGACATACTGATGCTCTCCCACAACTCTGCTACCCAGCCAAGTTCTACCTGTGTTAGCACTTGCTTGCTGAAACCCCCTGGAGTCAAGGAGTCATGCAACTGTTCTTCACTACAGGTCAGGATCTGCAAAAATTCCCGCTGTATGGATCTCGAGCTCTCTCCTTCCAGTCACAGTGCTTTCAGAGGGCATTTGACAGACAGTGTTATATGAACTCCTTACTGCCTGATTTAACCCTATAATTTAACACTACTGCGCTGCAATCGTGTGCATTGTATGTGGTTACAGCACGACCTTATTGAGCTCAATGGGAGGATTTGACAAGCAGTGATGCCTGTCAAACTACAGCTCAAATAAAAAAGTTGCTTCATGTGAACAGCTTTGGCTGGCTGTTTTACACTTCAGGGGGCAGCCAAGCCGGGGAAGGGGGGTGGTGGTAAAAATTAAATCTATTTAATGAGAAGGTGTATCTATTATTCCTAGTATCAGGTGTTTGTTTTCTATATGTTTACGTACTTCTGGCCTTTCCAGGTTCAAAATGGTCCAAAATTAATATTGAGAAGAAGTAGTCCAGCCCTCTATAACAGACCCAGTTTTTCATGTGGCCCATTGGGAAAATTGTCTACCTCCTGGATTAGACCCTCTGTCACATTTTCATTGTTGTCTTCACTGGGGTGGGGGATTCACCCCCTCAATTTCTACTGGTGACCATTGCCACTGAGAAAGGAAGAGTCCAAAATTTTAGAGTTGTCCCCGAAACACCAAAGACGTGCTGGTAGGTTAATTTGCTCCTGTCTAAATTGGCTCTAGTATGTGTATGTATGAATGTAAGTTAAGGACCTTAGATTGTACACTCCTTGAGGGTTAGGGACTGATAGGTATTTACAATATACTATATGTGTTGTACCTGTAGTAATAATAATGACTAATCGCTAGGGGAGATTTTCCAATGGGGATATTTTTTTCGGGGTCAGCTGCTTAAGGCCGGCCAAACATGGAACAAAATTCAGCCAGTTCTGCAGGGTGTTGCCAAATTTTGATCCTTGTATGGGTAAGCTGGTTGTATACAAGCTGATCTATTGATCAACATGTGTACAAGCCTGTTGGGTTTTTCCCAAATGGTCAGCATCGCCCTCTATAGCCAGCACTATTGATCACTGTATTCTGACAGTGGGGAAGGCTCCCCGCTGTCAGAATACAATAAATCAGTGGGAAGGATTCCTCCACATCCAGTGTGCGGAGTAGAGAATTGTCTCATTTTTTCGCATGGCCAGCCTAAGATTGGATGTCCCTCTAATTTTAGAGATTTCCTCCAACTTCCTGTTACATCTCTGGGACAGGAAGTGAATGTAAATTTCCCCAATGATACAGAGACAGCAAACAAATAACTTTGCAGGGGGTTTAACCCTTCCCTAATCTATCCAAAAGTTTAAAAAAAAAAACTTTTAATTCACCTTAAAAAATATCAGTAAAAAGAAACCAACTGCCAGTCAGTTTGTTCCCATACATGTTTGAGCAATCTTGTTGTCAGTTTTACAAAGCACACACATTTTATATTATCTAAGGCTGGACTCCTGTTAGATCCGGTGAGGTGAATTAACAACTGCATAATAGTTGCATTCTGTGTTAGAGCAACCTATTCAAATACATGAGCTAATAACGTGCTGGACTGGTACTATTTTTAGCAATGCAGCACACCACAGCACAGGCAGTGTGTTACCGCTTGTTGTGGTACATTGCAACACATGTGTTCCCTTAGTGTATTAGGGTGCCCATGAAAATTAGTAGTACCCCAATGCACTGGTGCATGTATGGCGCATTAAGCTGCGGTACCTATATGCATGGGTATGAATTTAGCCTTATTGTTGGCTGTATCAGAAATGCTGCAGGTGAAACTAAATATGTGTTCCAGACTTCAATAAAGATGATTGAAGGGTTCAACAGTGTAAAAATAGAAGTAAACTTTGTCAAAACAGTCCAGGATGTGCCTTGCAGATTACTTTAGATTTTAGATTACTTTATATTTAAGTATATAATAAAAATGTAAAATGATATTCAATTACCTGGTTCTTTCTTCAACAGTTGATGGGCTGGACAAAGCTTCCATTGCAAACTGTGATGCACCAAACTCAGGCAATCAGTCACCTCCCTTAAAGAGGAAAGGAAGGCTCTCCTCCATAGGCAAGATCTTCAAGCCCTGGAAATGGAGAAAGAAGAAGGCCAGTGAGAAATTTCGAGAGACCTCAGCAGGTGGGTACACATACAGATAAACTCTATTCTTCCGAGGTTCATCTTGGTATAACTGCCAGGAATAAATCCTAAGTATATATTCAAACTTTTATTAATTTTATTTCAACCACCTTCCAGACTGCTGGCTGTTTGTTGCATAAACATAGAAAACGTGTTAACTTGATCAGCCCTTGCTGAAGGGGTGTCTTCAACAATGACCAATAATAATCTGTATTCCATTCACGTTGTGATGCGGCGCCTGACATAACAAAATAACAGTAGAAGTGAAAGACCTGTGTATATGATCCCTTTTCTGCTGCAGCGTTTCAGGTTTTATCAAAGGTTCCGTAAGGAATCTACGCATTACGTCAACTGTTTAGATTTTCTTCTTTCAAGCTAAATTCCAGGAATTATTGGTATTGCATACTTACATTGGTCCATCTTGGCACATATACCTAATGGGCCACTGGGGAAGCTGAAAATCACCACAGTAGTCAGTGCTACTACAGTGATGGCCGCAATCTTCCAGGTCCTGCTTGGATGCTCTGGGATCGTCTTACCTTACGCACACTGACCAGAGGGGGTCAGTCACTTGGCACTGCCCATTCATAAAACAAGGTGTTCTCTGATGGGGCAAAGTAGGGATTTTGACATCACTACCTCTTGTTGTCCAGTTAGAGAATGCCTAGTATTTATTGAACAAAATACAAGGAATTCCATGAATGGCAGTAGTGTGGAATGAGCAAGCAGCATCTCTGTTTTTTGCACAGAGGGTAAGCCACTAATCTTGAGAAGAACCCAGAAGAGTTTGGCTATCACTGTAGTAGTGCCAATTACAGTGAATTCCAGCTTCCCCAGGGGCCCATAAGGCTAAGGATATGCATACTTTCATTGTGCCATGCTGGACCAATATAAGTATGCAATGTAGATAATTCATGGAGTTTAGTTTTAAAAAAACGGTTTACATTACAGGCAACTATTTTGCACTGGTAAGTTCACTTTTCTACTTTGACTATGCTCTGCGCTTTTCCTTCAGATAAAGACACTGTCTCTTTAACAGCAGCTCAGACTTTGTAGGCTGATAGTATAGTGCTTATGTAAGACTATTTAACACGTTCTTGGACTTGCATAATGTTAGTCTGCTCTCTCTCTTACTATCCTGTCTTGTACTGCCTTCTGGAGACATCCACACTAGCCTTTTTCAACTGCCAATGGGTCCTTTCCACTAGTCTTCTTTCATCTACTTCTGCAGCTTTTGGGAGGCAGCACAAGAGGGGGTTTTCTGTGAGGAGCAAAAGTGGAATACCAGCATGCAAGGCAGATAAGTTGGTAAAATAGTCTTGCAGGAGCATTGTATGACCAACCTGTGTGTGTATGGTCATAAGAAATTGGTGAGTATCCATGCATGTGGATGCTATGATGTACAATGCAGTTTTTTATGCATTTGATTTGACTTTTTCAGCTCTGACATTGCCACTGCAGTAAGAAGGAATCACTTTTCTATTGCAGGCATACAATAGGTTGATTTTCCTTTTAAAATTACTGGCAATGGAGGTAAATTACCAAATGATGGGGATCTGAGAAGGGAGGGGCAGAGGAGGCCTTAGGTCCAATGAACACTTTGTCGCTAGCAAGTCTTTTATCATTAAAATTTGTACACTTTGTTATAATATTAATGGCAGGTGAGAACATTTAAAAAAAATAATGCTGTGCTAGAAAATGCCTTTTTCTGATTGCATTTACAAAGGTACCATGCAGTTACAAATACATGTAGAAACAGAACAGGTGAATAAAAAATGCATGTTTTCAATCCTTTTATAAGCTTTTCTAAGTTTTACAGTGATAAGAATAAGCAAATATAGATATATATAAAGAAGTGAGTTACTGAATGTGCGTATCCAGTAACACTTTTTAGATTTCCAGTAATATTATCTGATAATGATTTAACTACTGAATGGTCTATTTGGTTTAGAGTACAGATCATGTGCCATTTTCCCAGTACAGGCCATTTCCAGTAATTCTGTATTGCCCAGTTAATCCCACGCCATTAAGAGCTTACATTGTCAGTAGGTATAATGAATTGCAGAGCACAGATCACAGTTCAGCTATAAACAGATGTTAACATAGTGTGAAATTAGAAATCCTGGCACAGAAAAGAGATATTTGTTTCAATAGCTTATGTAAATGACATATTTATTTCCTATTTTACCACCCTTACATTTGAACCTTCCTTTGCAAAAGCAACTACTGTGTATCTTGGGAGAAACAAAATCTAAATAAATAACCTGTGCTACTGTATCCAAAAAATTCTATATATGAACAGAAATACTATGCAAATAAACGCTGCTACGCAAAGTGATATACACTAAAAATACTAATAACTAATAAACCACAGCTCATTCCAATATAAATCCTAGATCCATATGCCTCAGAGTCCTTGAGGATGTCATGTAGGAGAGGCAAAACGCATTAACACAATTGAAGGGCTGCAAGGGCTGGGACAGTGATAATAATGGGTGATTTTAACTAACCGGAAATTGACTGGATTAATGGTACTGCAGGAACAGTTAAAGGGCAAAAATGTGTAAACCTACTACAGGACAATTTTATGGTACAGTTCATAGAGGCCCCAACTAGCAATGATGCTCTTATGGACCTGGTAATCTCAAACCAGACAGAGCTTATTATAAATGTCCATATAAAAGAACATCTGAGTAGTAGTGACCATAACATTATTTAATTTATTCCATATATCTATAAATGTTGCGGTCCTATTATCCAACTATATAAAGTGTGTGAAATATACTATTATATATACAAACTGACAAAAAATGTTCAATATATCAATAAAGTGATCAGAATAAAAAACAAAAATAAATCTGTTTATCCAAAAAAAGTCCAAATTTGTGATAAAGTGATTAAAACATAATACAGTGACTTTCTGTGAAACCTTCTAAGCCTATTATACAGGCTTAATAAACTTTTGGTTCACATATCCTGGAACCTACTAGAATTGCTGCAGTATATGATGGATGTTGGGAACTTCTTGCAAACACCTTTCCCCTTTAAAAACTCTGTATATCCCTGCAGAGATTTCTCCCTCCTTCAGCAAGTTGGTGATTTTGGGAGCAATTACAAAATACAGGTGTGTGTAACTTGCAAGCCAAACAAAAAACCTTAGAGATCACTAACAATTAACACATACTCCAACTGTGCAATTTAAACCATATATCTATAAATGTTGCGCTCCTATTATCCAACTATATAAAGTGTGTGAAATATACTATTATATATACAAACTGACAAAAAATTTTCAATATATCAATAAAGTGATCATAATAAAAAACAAAAAAATAAATCCATTATCCAAAAAAAAAGTCCAAATTTGTGATAAAGTGATTAAAACATAATACAGTGACTTTCTGTGAATCCTTCAGTGAAAATAGATGTGCGCTCACCTCCTTCTAAGCCTATTATACAGGCTTAATAAGCTTTTGGTTCACATATCCTGGAACCTACTAGGATTGCTGCAGTATATGATGGATGTTGGGTACTTCTTGCAAACACCCTTCCCCTTTAAAGGCTGTATATCTCTGTAAGGATTTCTCCGTCTTTCCAGCTGCTTTGAATCACTAGCACAATCCTCCTTATACGTTCCTCAGTGTTGAAGGAGACAATAGGAACATAGTGCTTTATCCTTAAAACAGACTTTATTTTATTCCACAAATCTTAATCAATGCACTCACATTGTTAAAAATTAAAAAAAACGCTTTCAGTGATAAATGCCTGTATCAGCCGTTGGCATATGTACTTGCCGCTTGTTCTCTCTGAAACCGAGTGATCATGGGCTTATGGCCAAAGTTAAAAAAAAAAAGATATAGGTAATAAGAAAAAAGCTTTTATTAATTGTAAAAATGAAGGAATGCTGACATCGTTTAAACATTACAAAGAATATAACACAATATGCAAAAAGGAAATAAAGGCCACAAAAATTGAAAACAAATGACAGATTGCAATAGATAGCAGGACAAACCTCCAAAAATTCTTCAAATATATTAATAGTAAAAAGGTCTGGTCCGAGCATGTAGGCCCTGTACAAAATAATCTAGAGTGGGTGACTGTAGACAAAGAGAAGGCAAATTTATTAAATACCTTCTTTAGCTCTGTGTAAACAAAGGAGCATGGGGGAGCTCTTGTCCATAATGGGCATGGTATTGACACAGCTACAGATGATCCATATTGGCTCACAATTGATATGATCCAGAAATATTTAAACAGAGTAAAATTGAATAAAGCACCTGTACCAGATGGCATACACCCAAGGGTCCTTAAAGAATTGAGCTCTATCATTTCAAAGCCATTGTTTCTAATTTTTAGGGACTCTTTAATGACTGGCATAGTACCACTGGATTGGCGTAAGGCCAATGTAGTGCCTATATTTAAAAAGGGGTCAAAATCTTTACCAAGTAATTGTTGACCTGTTAGTTTAACTTCTATATTTTGAGAAGATACTGGAGAGTTTAATAAAAGACCACATAGATGAGTTCTTGCTGGAAAAAAATATTTTAAGCAACAGAAAGACAGAAGTTGTCAAACAAATCTGATTTCTTTTTATGAGGAGGTGAGCAAAACCTTGGACAGAGGGGTGGTGGTGGACGTGCTATACTTGGATTTTGCAAAAGCATTTGACACAGTTCCCCACACACGGCTAATGTGTAAGGTGAAGTCTACGGGCTTGGAAAAATCCATATGTACATGGGACAGAAAACTGGCTAAAAGATTGTATTGAAAGAGTAGTAGTTAATGGTTCATACTCTGAATGGTCTAGGGTTGTCAGTGGTGTACCCCAAGGTTCAGTGTTGGGACCCTTACTTTTTAATATATTTTTAACGATAGAGGGTCTGGGATTAAAAATACCATTTCAGTCTTTGCCCATGACACTAAACTGTGCAGTGGAATAACGTCCTTACAGGATGTCTCCAATTTACAAACCGACCTCAATGCACTGTTTGATTGGGCAA